ATATATAATATATATATATATATATATATATATATATTTATAAATAATAATATATACGTATTAATAAATAATAATATATATAAATATTAATATATATAATAAAACAAAAACAAAAAAATATATATATATATTAGGGTTGTGATGGTGAGAAAATTTTCCCACCGGTTAATCAACATGTGACAACACCGGTAATACTGGTATCACCGTTGGGGGGGTGGTGGGGGGGGTGTTAGTTTGTTTGAGTTTCCCTCTTTTCCTCGGATTTCTTGGCTTTCAAATAGCTTGAAAAAGCATACCGGTATCACCGTGGGGGCGTTCCCTCTTTTCCTCGCTTTCCTTCGCTTTTAAATAGCTTGAAAAAGCGCCGTGCGCGTTTTACTTTCACTTTCAAATAATCTGCAATTCGGCGTTGATTCAATTCAAGCAAAAATAACGTCAAACTCATAGAACTTTTATTAACATAACGAATAAAAATACACCATATATGCCTAATAAAATAACAAATTACTTAGGCTACACAAAGTTTAAATAGGTATATAAAACTGAAAATCAGCAAACACTGTGGAACCACATAAGTAAGAAACATAGAACGTTTATTAGCAAAACGAATAAGAAAGCTTGGAGGCACGGCATATACACCTTGATGTAAAATAAAATAAATAAAATACACAGAGTTTAAATAAAGTAATCAGCAAACACTGTGGAACCAAATAAATAAAAAACGAATGTTTAAAAAAAAACTTTCAGTCAATAGGCTTTTCAAAATCTAAAATATTGCCAAACAGGCGCCTTTGCGTTTCCTTTCTAAACAATCTTCTGCCATCGTCTTGTCTTTCTCACCTCACTCTTGCCAGTCAGCTCGACTCAATCTCCTTACGTGTTAAATCAAATCTGACTCCTGCTCCGTGGTTTTTAAGTCTCTGTCCTCTAACTGAACTTGGCTAAATTATTTTTGTTACTATAAAAAAATCAAAACGACAGTTGGGGGCGGTGCCGCAGTAGGCAAATGACGTAACCGGCACACCAGCGCTGTTCTCCTCCTGTCATGTACCTGCTAAATGAAGCACACAAAAGTTCCAGACTGTAAGCAGGTTTGGTCTCTGCGAGGCCCAGTTAAGAAGCGCCGGATTCTTGTTGTCTCCTGCAAGCAGTTTTCCGACACAAATACTTTATTGCTGTTTATTCAGCAAGCATTTTTTCCTGTCGGCCTGCAGTATTTTATGCATATAGAGAAGTTTGTTTGAAAAGTGCTGACCTCTGTGATTGCTCATAATTTATTAGTGGACTTTTTTTTAAATGATGTGGAATATGAAAAAAAAAATTATGATAGTGACCGTGTTTTGCTCTCTGGGCAACGTTAAGCCTGTACTTCATTCCACTGTATGATATAAGTC